TACAGAGGGAAATAGGGAGTTCTCAACTTGCAACCACAATTGGGACCAGAACTTCTGTTGCTAAGCGAGGCAGTTGTTCAGTGTGTCGCTCCCAATTTTATACCTTTTTTTTGCTACAGTCATTCAGTGAAACACTACAATTGTTAATGGGGAAGTATGTGGTAATTAAATGAATCGGCCTTTCTCCGTTGACTTTCTTTGGACCCGGGCCACGCAAGGGGTGGGTAAGCGGGCACGCATGCGCAGCTCTACTAAAGCAAGCAATGGGCACTTTGCACAAGCGGTGGGCACATAGATATACACACACCCGCTCACACACAACCATTCCCTAGCCCTCCTCCCCCCCCCCTACTGGTCCACCAAACCGCAAAGCTGCTGTAGACACTTCCGTGACTGGAGAATCCTTTACCAAGAGTTTTGAGGATGAGGGTGCAGTGCAGGGTGAGAAAGATTGGCGCCAGGTATTGGAGGCTGACCACTGTTACGTAGCAGTAGATTCTGGTGATCTGGAAATAATAAAAAAAGGAACCATAAAGAATGACAATTGAGATCTGGACATCTAATATCTTAAGTGGCAACCCAGATACAGATAGTCCTCTATTTATAACCACAATTGAACCCCCAAATTTCTGTTGTTCAGCAAGAAGGTTGCTAAGTGACTTCTGCCCCATTTTATGACCTTTTTTTGCCACAGTTGCTAAGTGAATCACTACAGCTATTGAGTAACATGGTTTTAAAAAATGGACTTGTGACTGTTTTTCACACTTATGACTGTTGTACCATCCCTGTGGTCACCTGATCAAAATTTGGAGGCATGTATTTATGACAGTTATAAATATTGATGTATTGATGTATTACGTACTTATGATTTTTATAAACAGAGGCACAGAATCAAAATCCTGTGAAGTATTAGTACCGTTTTATAAATCCTTAGTAAGGCCACACCTGAAATACTGCGTCTAGGTTTGGCCACCACATTACAAAAAAGATGTTGAGACTTTGGAAAAAGTACAGAGAAGAGCAACTAAGATGATTAAAGGCCCGGAGACTAAAACATATGAAGAACGGTTGCAGAATGTGGGTATGGCTAGTCTAGAGAAGGAAAAGGAGGGACATGATAGCAGTATTCCAGTATTTGAGGGGCTGCCACAAAGAAGGGGGGGTCAAATTATTCTCCAAAGCACCAGAGGGCAAGACAAAAAAAAAAAACAATGGGTGGAAACTAATCAAGGAGAGAAGCAACCTGAAATTAAGGAGAAACTTCCTAAAAGTGAGAACAATTAACCAGCAGAACAGTTTGCCTCTAGACATAGGTACTTCATCACTGGAGGTTTTTAAGAAGAGGCTGAACAGCCACCTATCTAAAATGATATAGGATCTCCTGCTTGAGCAGAGGGTTGGACTAGAAGACCTCCAGAGTCCCTTCCGGCTCTATTCTTCCCAGGGTCACGTGATCACCCTTTGCAACTTTCTGACAAGCAAAGTCAACGGGGAAGCCAGATTGACTGAACAACTCTGCTCTATCTTAACAACTGCAGCAAGAAAAGGCGTTAACTGGGGCAACACCCACTTAACAACTGTCTTGCTGAGCAAAATTTTGGACTCCCATTGTGGTCATAATTTGAGGACTACCTGTAAAGGGTTTGCTTCACTTTGCCCTGTTCGCTGTGAACCATCTTGGGCCTACCTTCTGCTGAATCTCCAGCACGGTGATCCGGCCGGCCTCCCGTTTCATTTGCTCCACCCAGCGCTCAGCCAGATTCAGGTACGCCTGGAGATGGTAGCGGGTGACAGCCAGGCGTAGCACACAGAGCACCACAATCGTCCAGAGGCGTACAGAATTATAGGTGGTGTCCGACATGCTGTCACAAAGAGGAAGGGGATCCATTAGCTCTCTTGAGGGCGAGGAGCAGAGGTGGTATTCAGCAGGTTCTGACCAGTTCTGGAGATCCGGTAGTGGAAATTTTGAGTAGTTTGGACAACCGGCAAATATCACCTCTGACTGGCCACACCCCCACCTATTCTCTGCCTCCCGAGTCCCAGTTGATCGGCTGGGTCTTCTTTGGTTGCCCTGCACAAGAGAATGGAGCTGGAAAGCAGGTTAGTGGGGTGGGGAGGGAATGGGCATTTTGCAATATCCTTCCCTCAGGAGTAGGGAGGGAATGGAGAGTTTAGAGTATCCTTCCCCTTCAACGCCCACCAAACCACGCCCACCAAGCCACGCCCTGCCCACCAAGCCACGCCCACAGAACCGGTAGTAAAAAAAAAAAATTGAATTCCACCACTGGTGAGGAGGGACCTCTTTCAAATGCTGAGCTGCCAAGCAACAGCCTGAGAATCTAGGCCTGATTCCCAACCTCCCTTTTGAATCTTAAGTTACTAAGCCTCATGGATCCAGGGATGCTCAAAGGAATCCCAACAAAAAAAAAAAAAATAAGCAAAGATTACTTGAATTAAAGCTCAAAAGGAAAGAGTTTAAAACAAGAAAAAGAAAAAGGAATCACAGCCGGAATGCAACTCCTCCCCTTCACTTACATCTGGACCGTTTCCTTGCCCATGGGGGCCTGCAGCAGGAGATCTCGCGCAATGGGCTTGATCCACATCAGAACCACGATCACGGGAGCAAGAAAACTGGCATGCAGGAGGAGTCTGTGGGACAGGGAGAGGGAGGTTTATTCCGCGTTCAGTCTCCAGACTTTTGAGGGCCTGGAAATGTGTTATCTGGCAACCACACACACCCTACACACACACACACACACACACACACACACACAAACCCCACACACAAACAATAAGCTTCTAAGTAAGGATTAAGAGTGTCCAAAGGGCAGGGTCAAGAGTCAAGATCCACAATGGATGTGATCAAAGTTCCACCTAGTTATTATGTGCATCTCATTTAAAAAAATCTATCCATCCATCCATGGTATCTCTCTCTCTCTCTCTCTCTCATATCTATATTTATCATCTATATCATCTATCATTTATCATCAATCAATATCATCTACAGCAGTGGCCCCCAACCTTTTTTGTGCCACAGCCCGGTACCGGCATCAGCACGCATGACAAGGCAAGGCGAGCCGAGCGACCGGCCAGCCAGCCGTCCCCTGCTTCTCCCCGCCACCTTCAACTCCTCCTTTGTACCTTTGTCGATGGGCTTCGCTTCTGGACGGCTTCGGGACGGTCGCTCGGCTCGCCTTGCCTTGGGTGCTGAAAGAATCCTCGCGCCTTAGTTTCGTTCAAAGCCGCCCCCCCCCTTCGATGAAACTAAGGCGCGAGGATTCTTTCAGCACCCAAACGCCGCTTTCCAACCGGAAAAGCTCACCCGGAAGCACTTTCTCATCGAAACAAGATGGCGACGCCCAGCAAACCAGCGGCCCGGTAGGAAATGTTCCACGGACCGGTACCGGTCCGCGGCCCGGTGGTTGGGGACCCCTGATCTACAGTGTCTGTCTGTCTATCTTCTATCTGACAGTTCAGCATTTGAGATCTATCATCTATATCTACGGTATCATTCTGTCTGTCTGTCTGTCTGTCTGTCCGTCCGTCCGTCCATCCATCCATCTATCTATCTATCTATCTATCATCTCCATCCTACTTACCTACCCATCATTTTAATAATTTCCAACCACATAAAATACAGCTTTTACTGGTTCAAGGGTCATGCTTGCCCTTTGAATAATATGGTGCAGCCCAACTAACCCAACTTGCATTTCCTTTTTCTTCCCACATCCTGCTCATATATATTCCTGGCTTGGGAGTTCTGGGAGTTGAAGCCCATATATCCTAAGGTTGCTAAGGCTGAGGAACACTGTCCTAGATAAAGAAATAGCTTTTTCTGGTGCTATTACACAATAATTAATCAATGGCTTGCCATTCCAACGTAGAAGGCACGTAGAAGGCACGGACACTCCCTCCCTAAGGATCTTTGCAAGCTTTGTATGCCTTTACACTACAGATAGTCCTTGATTTACGACCACAGTTGGGACTGGAATTTCCATGGCTGGGTGTGAGATGGCCCATTTTAAATCCTTTTTGGCCACGGTTGTTAAGTGAATCACTGCAGTTGTTAAGTGACTCGTGCAGTTGTTAAGTGAAGCCGGCTTCTCTTACTGACTTTTCTTGTTGGAAACAAATGGTGATTCACACGACCACAGGAAGATGCAACCACCATAGCAATAGCAAGCAATAGCCGTTAAGACTTATATACCGCTTTACAGTCCTCTCTAAGCAGTTTACAGAGTCAGCCTCTTGCCCCCAATAATCTGGGTCCTCATTTTACCTCGAAAGGATGGAAGGCTGAGTCAACCTTAAGCCTGGGGAGATTCGAACTGCCAAATTGCAGACAGCCGAGAGTCAGCAGAAGTAGCCTGCAGTACTGCACTAACCACTGTGCCACCGTGGCTCATAACCATAAATACATTCCAATTACCAGGAGCCTGAATTTTGATCATTGAACTGTGGGGATGCTGCAATACCAGTAGTCACAAGCGCAAGGACCAGTCGTAAGTCACTTTTTTCAATGCCGCGGTAACTTTTGAACAGTTGCTAAAGCAGTGGTTGTTAAGTCAAGGACTAACTTCTAAACAAATCAAATTCAAGGGAAGTATGCCAGACCTGTTTTGAGGTTCTGTAGATATTCTGAAGTATCATGCTCCTTCCTTGATTTTACCTTCTAATGTTATTTCTGGAACCGTATCTACGCATCACTGTCTCAATCTCTCACCTATCAATTCACCTCTGTCCTAATTAAGTTGATCTAACAGCACAAGGGACACTTAGCCTCCTATATTTTAGAAGAAGGTGAGGCAGGTCTTCCTTCAATCCTGAGGACCTATGGGGCTCTTTTAAGGCTAAGCGATGAGCTTGAACGTAACTGGATCTTTGGTTGGTTGGCCACCATTTTGAGCGCATCCAACTGAGTCTGGGCCAGCCGTAGGCCCGGGAAGGTCAAGCAGGCACCAATGAACGAACAGATGCCCACAAGGCCCACTTTAATTCCGAGTCTTGTCACCGGGATCCTGGAGGGAAGAAACAAATATCCAATCAAGCCAAGTTTTTTCAGAGGAGAGGTCTTGGTGCTAAGTGAAGGGAGGCAAGCCACTTGCTTACACATTGGCCGAACTAATCAGAGCCTGTTTGGGGTAGTTGTTAAGGAGCTGACCTAGAAACCAGGAGATTGTGAGTTCTAGTCCTGCCTTAGGTGCGAAGCCGGCTGGGTGACTCAGGGCCCAACCCACATCACAGGCAAAAAGAGGAGGGAAAAGCAGTCTTATGAATCTTCTCTGCCTTGAGTGTCTTATAAAGTAATAAAAATCTAATAAACAACAACGTATTTTAAAAATGGAATGACATCCTTATTTATTGCTGTCTTTAGAGCCCAACTTTCTCCTGAGAATTCAAACCCAATACCATAAAGCCTTAGTAAGACCACACCTAGAGTACTGCATCCACTTTTGGTTACCACATTATAAAAAAGATGTTGAGACTCTAGAAAAAGTGCAAAAAAAGAGCAACCAGGATGATTAGGGGACTGGAAACTAAAACATACAAAGAACGGTTACAGGAACTGGGCTTGGCTAGTCTAGTGAAGAGAAGGACCAGAGGAGACATGATAGCAGTCTTCCAATATCTGAGGGGCTGCCACAGAGAGGAAGGGGTCAAGCTATTTTCTAAAGTGGCTAAAGGCCAGACTAGGAATAATGGATGGAAACTGAACAATCAACCTGGAAATAAGGAGAAACTTTCTGACAGTGAGAACAATCAACCCATGGAACAGAAGTTGCCCTCGGCAGTTGTGGGAGCTTCATCACTTGAGACTTTCAAGAAGAGATTGGACTGCCATCTGTCAGAAATGTTGTAGGGTCTCCCGCTTGGGCAGGGGGTTGGACTAGATGACCTACAAGGTCCCTTCCAACTCTAATTATCTGTTATCTGTTATAACCACTGGGAAGGTTCCCATTGCCAATAGCAGGAAAAGTTGGATCTAAACTGGAAGAGGATCAAAAGTCAATAACACTTACATCCATTCCCATCCTTGGTCCATGAAGAAGACCTCCAAATTGTTATGGACGCTGGTTAGTCCTGGAAAGGGGAGAGAGCTGATCAAGGGAGTGCCAAGGGCTTAATTTGGCCGGCCAAGGTGACAAGGGTGCCCAGCGATGGCCCATGCCCAAGGTCACTCACCTGCATTGAGCCCAAATTCAAGGTAATCTTCCCGGACCACCAAAACCACCATTGCAATCAGGAGGAAGAGGAAGGCAAAGGAGAGGCAGACAGAGCGCTCACCCCCTTCCTTGGAGCGGAAATAGTGACGCATCACCATGACAAATATTTTGCTGAAAATATGGTGCTAAGGGCATAACATCAACCATTCTGTCCCCACGGTGCTTTTTCAAGAGGCAACTGGACTTTCTGTTTAGAGTGATGCGGTGGCCTAGAGGTGCAGCTCTTGCCTCACAGTTAGGAGGCTGTGAGTTCGATCCTAGGTAGGGGCAGATATTTCTCTCTGAGAAATATATCTGCTGAACAAAACTCCACATTGGCGACAGGAAGGGCATCCGGCCATTAAAACACTCTGCTAGCTCCATTCAGTTGCCCAGACTCCACCCTTCGCAAGGGATTATGGGGTCGTTAAATGAAGATGAACTGGACGTTCTGGGTTTTTTTTCTTCGAAGATGTTTTGCTTCTCATCCAAGAAGCTTCTTCGCTTCTTTTTACAACAGAGCTGAAGAAGCTTCCGGGATGAGAAGCGAAACATCTTCAAAGAAAAAAACAAAGTCCAGTTGCCTCTTGAAAAAAAGCACCTTGGGGACAACCATGACCTTGGATGACTGAGAATCTCCATGGACATCAACCATTCCAGTCTTTGAAAAGAAAAAGACCATATTTTAAAGTTTGTACAGGTAGTCCTGGAGTTACGACAGTTCATTTCGTGACCATTGGAAGTTTCAATGGCACTGAAAAAAAAAGGGACTTATGACCGTTTTTCACACGTTACAAATTTTGCAGCGTCCCCATGGTCACGTGTTCAAAATTCAGATACTTGGAAACTGACTCCTATTTATGACGGTTAGTGTCCCAGGGTCACGTGATCCCCTTTTGCGACCTTCTGACAAGCGAAGTCAAGGGGGAAGCCAGATTCATTCAACAACCATGTAACTAACTTAACAACTGAAGTGATTCGCTTAACAAATGTGGCAAGAAAGGTCGTAAAACGGGGCAAAATTCACATAACTATCCTGGTTAGGAACAAAAATCTGGGGGTCGATTGTGGTTGTAATCGAGGGTTACCTATACAGTATAATGGTGGGTGCAAAAGGGAAGGGCCCTTGTTGGAATCCAATTCTGAGGGGGAGATTCAGCAGCTGACAGGGAGTGGGAGTGTAGTTCCAGTGGCTGTGGAAGAAACGAGGGAAGGGCACAGTCCAGATGGGTATTCAGAGGAAGACCCAGGCCCACCCCCTCTTCATCCTACGGCACGCAGGGAGGAACTGAGAAGGGAGCAACATGGCTTACGGGAGAGGAAAAGGCCCTGATCCCCTTCATGGGTTGCAGCTGGGAAGACTGTTTAAAAGGGCAAACTGTGCATGACAAAGTTGCTGGAAGCAAAGCATGCATTATCTTAGTGGCATCCTCCCAACTGTGGGTGCTGCGTTATCTTTTGGAAGTTTGCAATTTATCATTCTAGCCTGTCGTGTTAATTACTTTAGCGTGGTTTGTGTTGGTTTTTTTTTATTTCTAATTATCTTTACTTTGGGTTCGGACTGCATTTCCTCCCTTCGTAGACCGTTTTTGGAAGAGTTTGATCTCCAGCCGAGGATAACTGGACATTAGGGGCCAAATTGGAGGCATTAAAGGGAATTTATCTACTTTGGTGACTTTGTTATTTTTGTGCCATGCCTCGGTCATCACAAGTCCCTGCTTGCAAAGCAGAGGTGGTGTTCAGCAGGTTCTGACCAGTTTTGGAGAACTGGTAGCAGAAATTTTGAGTTTTGGAGAAACAGCAAATACCACTTCTGACTGGAGATTTTACAGTATCCTTCCCCTGCCACGCCGACCAAGCCACGCCCACAGAAACGGTAGTAAAAATTTTTTGAATCCCACCACTGTTGCAAAGGATACATGGAGAATACAGCTGTCAGAAGACACCAGAGGATTCCAATGTTGGTTTCTTTCTGGGGATCAATGAGGCAATAGTAGCCTTCAGTGAAAAGGTAGACCAGAGTGGAGTATCCTGCGAAGTCCACGTACCACTGATATTCCAGGAAATAGCATAGAACTAAAGAGGAAACAGAAAATGCTTAGCATCCCATCTGAGGTCTCCCATCTGATCGAGTTCAATGCTGTACAAGTAGTCCTTGACTTACAGTTCATTTAGTGACTGTTCAAAGTTACACCGCCACTGAAAAAGGTGACTTATGACCATTTTTCACAGTAACAATCTTTGTAGTATCCTCATGGTCACGTGATCAAAATTCAGAGGCCTGGCAACTGACTCATATTTATGACGGTTGCAGTGTCCTGGGATCACGCTTTCATCTCTTGCAACCTTACGACAAGCAAAATCAATGGGGAAGCCAAATTCACAACCGGGTTCCTAATTTATGAACAGCAGTGATTCACTTAATAACTGTGGCAAGCAAGGTCATAAAATGGGGCAAAACTCAACTGTCATGCCCCTGTCGGAATCTGACTCGGAGGAGGAAGCTGAACAGCTGACAGTTAGTGGGAGTATGGCTCCAGTTGGCTGTGGAGGAGGCTGGGGAAGGGCAGTCTGTCTGGGCAGAGCAGGGAGAGGCAGAACAAGGGAGAGGGAATTCAGAGGAAGACCCACCCCCTCTTCATCCTAGGGCACGCAGGGAGGAACGGAGAAGAGAGCAATATTGGTTGCATGGCTTACGGGGGAAGAAAGGGCCCTGATTCCCTTCATTAGCTGCAGCTGGGAACACAGTGTATAAAAAAAGGCAAGCTGCATGCAGCAAGCTATTGGGAGCAAATGTGACTTTATCTTGTATCATTGTGGCTTATCTCTGTTCTTGGCATCTTCCCAAATGTGTGAGTTTTGCCGTGCTTTCAAGTTTGAAATTCCTGGTTTCCGGTTTGTCGGCTTCGCGAGCGGTAGGGATTCGCGAAGCTGCGCGATCCCTGCCGCGCTAGCCGTTTTGGGGCTCCGACCCGGACGGGTGCGGAGCAAGGCTGCCCTGCAGGGGTAGCTGAAGGTAAGGGGGATCCGGAGGAAGGGTTTGGGGGTGTTGCAGACCCCCTCCCTGGCCGGCAGAACCCCCTGTTACCAGGACGGTGCAGCGGCGGTCCGCAATGGCCGCCACAAAGAAGTTGACAGCCGGGCAAGTATGCGCAGGAGGAAGAAGAGAAAGTTATTGAAAGTGAAAGTTCTTCTTGGTCGACCCAGGGCTTTGAGATTTATCTAATTTAATTCCTGGAAAAGATGGTTTTCTGATGATTTCTTCCACAAGAGAAAAAAAAGCGGCTATTTTGAGGTGCTGAAGGGAAAGTTTACTCTCCCTCCCGACGGAATTAAGCCGGAAGGGAGAGGATAAAGAAAATATATAAATTTGGATCTTGTTGGAGGAGATGCCTTGAAGACTTGAGGACAGAAATACAATCTTAATAAGGCTTTAAAATATAGATTTGGATTCTTTTTTTTTATTTGTTTGATACCACCCCTGGAAGAGGAAGGGGGAATTTTGGCTTGCTTGGATTTATTGAGGATTGTGGATTTTGGGATTGTTTTGCCTTTCTCTCGGAATATTTGGTTGGTGTAAGAAGAAAGAGGAATAAAGAAAAGAAAAGATTTATTTATAATGGCTTTCCTTTTTGAAGACCTGAGGGATGAATATGAGCAAACAAAAGCAGCCTGCAAAGATGGCATGGAAAAAGCTTTTCTATTTCTAGAAATGGCGCTGGTCAATTACCAACAGACAATGGAACAGATGGAAACGGAAGAAGAACAACAAGGAAGAGACGAAGACGCCATCTTCATTGAATCCCAAAACTTATCTAAGGAAGAAGGAAGGAAGAGAGCAAGGAAAATGAAGGACTTAAGATCTAAAAAAGCATTTGAGAAAGAGAAAAATATGATGCAAAGTAAATATAATGATAACAAACAAGAGAAAAAGGGAACACAACAGAGAAGGGATCCCAGCAAGGCAGAGGGTAGAAGAAGAAGGGGGGGTAGGAAGATTTGGTGGGGGAAGAAAGAAAGGGGAAAGGCGGAGAAAAGCCTCAAAGCTTTAAAATTGGATGGGAGAAGAGGGATTTTTTTTAGAGACAAAGGATGAAATATAAATTTCTGTAAGAAAGATTCTGCTAAGGTACAGAAGATGGTATTGTAACATTTATATTTGAAATAGTAAATTAGAATGGTTTAAGATTTAATAAGAAATTAAAATGTTGAAGTTTTTAATAATGATTGATTTTTAAAATGTAATAAAATATCGAAGGAAAGGAGGATACAATGTATTTAAACATTTTTGGTGGATAGAATGTACCAAGCAGAACCAAATTGGGTATTCGTTATGCTGAATGTTAATTTTACTAACTTAGGGGGAGGATAGAAAGGCATCATACTCTGATTAGTGATTTCAGGAGAAATTCTTTTTATTATAAGAAGAGATAGAGGGATAAATGAATGGGCAAAAGATACAAATTTAATGATTTAACTAAGATGGATTAAATAAGATAGAAATGTGAAGAGTGATATGTGCTATTATTTTAGCCCATGCAAAGAGAGGTAACTGGGGCCAAGGTACTTTACTAAAAGATTTTTTTTATGTTTGTTTGTGTTTGTTTGTGTTTTATGAGAATATTGGGGAAATTATTGTAGAAAGACAGGGAAAGATTTAATATGTAATGATTTGTTTGTTGTTGAAACTTTTAATAAAACTTGTTTTTAAAAAAAAAAAAAAAAAAAAAGTTTGAAATTCCTGCTCCTGCCCTGCCAAACTAATTACTTCAGTTTGGTTTGTTTGGATTTTAAGTTACAATTTGTGTGTACCTTGTTTTGGACTGAATTTTCTACAGTCAAAGAGAGTTTTTCTCCAGCCTGAAGGTAACCTGGACACTGGGGGCAAAGTAAGAGATAATAAAGGGACCCTTATTGCTTATCTGACTGTGTTACCTTTGTGCTACCCCCGGGTCATTACACTCACTTAACAAATGTCTCACTTAACAACAGAAATTTTGGGCTCACTTGTAGTCATAAGTCGAGGACTGCCTCTACTCTTCTTTTTCCAAATTAAAACCAGAAGTATAACTCTTCATGGGGCGACGCTACAGGTAGTCCTCAACTTACAACCATTTGTTTAATGGCCTTTCAAAGTTACAACAGCACTGAAAAAAGCGACTTATGACCTATTTTCACACTTATGACCACTGCAGCATCCCCATGGTCGTGTGATCAAAATTCAGTGGCTTGGCCACTGACTCATATTTATGACGACTGCAGCGAATCACCTTTTGCATCCTTTCAGGCAGGCAAAGTCAAGGAGGAAGCCAGATTCATGTAACAACGGTTGTTACTAACTTAACAACAGCAGAGATTCCCTTTTAACAACGCTGGCAAGAAAGGTCGTAAAAATGGGGTAAAATTCACCTAACTATCTTGCTTAGCCATGGAAATTTTGTTTGCCGTAAGAGAGTACACTCTGTGTTTCTGAATTTGCAGCATCCCTTATGAGAGGACCAGCCTTCCTGGCCCACCCTGTACGATAAAGATGTAGCTAAGAAAGTCCAACCTCCACACATTTACCCAGAGCATCCACTGTCCGGATAGGGCTAGTCTCCAGTTGCAAATCAATATCTCGGGGAACTGTCGAAGGTTTCCCATCGGTCATCCCGTTGATCCTCCGGCTGCAAACGAACAAGCCAACATTCCTGGTTACTACTCAACTTGGTTTAGGCTTGGTATAACTGGAAAATAGATCAAGTTCCCTCATCAAGTATTTTCTCTTTTAAAAAGTGCTATCTTCAATAGAATAGAATAGAATAGAATAGAATAGAATAGAATAGAATAGAATAGAATAGAATAGGACAGAATAGGACAGAATAGGACAGAATAGAATAGAATTCATTATTGGCCAAGTGTGATTGGACATAAAAAGAATTTGTCTTGGTGCCAATGCTCTCAGTGTACATAAAAGAAAAGATAACATTCATCAAGAGTCAAGAATCATAAGGTATTTTGTATATAGTTGGACAGTGTTGAGGGAATTATTTGTTTAGCAGAGTGATGGCATTCGGGGGAAAAACTGTCCTTGTGTCTAGTTGTTCTGGTGTGCAGTGCTCTATAGCGTCGTTTTGAGGGAAGGAGTTGGAACAGTTTATGTCTGGGATGTGAGGGGTCTGTAAATATTTTCACAGCCCTCTTTTTGACTCGTGCAGTATACAAGTCCTCGGTTGAAGGCAGGTTAGTAGTAATTGTTTTTTCTGCAGTCCTAATTATCCTCTGAAGTCTGTGTCTGTCCTGTTGGGTTGCAGAACCAAACCAGACAGTTATAGAGGTGCAGATGACAGACTCAATAATTCTTCTGTAGAACTGTATCAGCAGCTCTTTGGGCAGTTTGAGTTTTCTGAATTGGCGCAGAAAGAACATTCTTTGTTGTGCTTTTTTGATGACATTTTTGATGTTAGGTGTCCATTTTAGGTCTTGTAATATGATAGAACCTAGAAATTTGAAGGCCTCTTCAAACAGAGTGCAAACCTTCCACTCTCCAATTGCCAAATGCCTATCCATCTGAGAGAACAAAAACCTTTAAACACCTCCCCCACCCAGTTCTTTAGCCACTGTTTTTCAACCTTAATAACTTTTTAAGATATGTGGATTGCAACTCCCAGAATTTCCTGGAAATTCAGCGACTGGTTCAAAGCTCTGATGCTGGGTGGAGATTAAAACTTAATTCCCTCCATTCTTACCCCAGATTTTTCACCACCTCCACACATTGGCTCCTGTGTTGTTGTTTTTTTCCCCAGCAGTTCAAGATGCACAACAGCAGGCTGTCGAAGCCCAAAACAGAGCTCCGTTTTCCCTGGCAGAATGCTAGCAAAAACAAACTACCTGCAAAAGTGACATTTGATCACAAGGCAAGGAGGCATCAAGAAATGTTTCCCCTTTTGCATTTGAGCATCCAAGAAAGGACACGAAAGGAGGAAAGAGGAAAGACAAAGAAAAAGAAGGAAAGGTGGGAAGGGAGCAAGGAAGGAAAAATAAGGAAAGAGGGGAAGGAAGAAGGAGAATGAAGAGGGAAGGAAAAAGAAGAGAAAGAAGGAAGATTGTGAGAGTGAGAGGAGCTCTGAGGGAAGTTCTGCCTTAGTACTTGGCCACCAGCAGCCCTGCTGCCCTTTCACCATCCCCTTATCTCCTCCTCCTGACTTCTCTTGGTGGTCTCTCATCCTATCACTGAGGATGCTTTGGTTACTAAGCCAGGTCTCCTCACACGGAGAGGGAGCGGACCTCCCTCTGACCCACACACTTTGCAGCCTTGAGGAGGTGGGTAAGCACAGCCGGGTACCTCCTCAGGGAAGCGGGGCTGGCTGGGCTGTGGGCTCCTGGTGCCCCGGGAGCTTGAGGGCTGGGCGCTTACTCTCCGTGCCATCCAGGGGTCCTCCGCGTGGCCTGAGAGGGACAGTGAGGCTCTTCTGGAGGACAAGGGTTCACTGGTCTCGCCTTCCTCCGCTGGAGACAATGGATGCCCCCAGACCCGCCCGGGCCACCTCAGGAACCCTGACACAAGTGGCGTTGAGCTGGCCATACACCCCGGCCATAACCCCCCCCGTCCCCCCCCCCCCCCCGAGGTCAAACACAACCCTGATGTGGCCCTCGATGAAATCAAATTTGACACCCCTGATCTAGGACAGTGTCTCTCAACCTTGGCAACTTGAAGATATGTGGACTTCAACTCTCAGAATTCCTCAGCCAACATAGTTGAAGGGAGGTGAAGTCCATCTATCTTAACGTTGCCAAGGAAACAAACACTGCTTTAGCCAATTTACCTGCCAAGATTATCGGCCTTTTGCTAATTGGGCTTACCTGTCCCGCTTACTCTTCGGCTTCTGCTTCCCAGCCAGGGCAAGTAACTCCTCTTCTGAAGGATGTTTGTAGCGATGCAAGCTAGAAAAATATAAAACACCAGTTTGATGCCACGCAGAAAGGAAAAACAAGGTGCCATAGATACAGGCCTCTTAAAGAACCTGTTTGTGAGTGGCTTGATCATTATTTCACCTCTTTTTATGTTTTTGTGTTGAAAAATGGGGAAGGGTGTTTGTGTGGCAGGGAAATTTTGTATTCATTTATTCAGTTATTAATTTTATATGCCACCTATTTCATTATCAGGGATGTGTGCCAGGCTCAAAGGAGGGGCCCCTTCTTTCCTTCCACAGAACAAGGCATGGTTGCTACTACAGGGCGACACGAGTGTCTCATTACAAAGGATGAGATACCTTCCGTTGCAAAGGAGCCATCGGGCGAAGGACCAGTGGGGTGCCATCTTCTGAAAGATGCTGGCCACGAACAAGGAGAACACAAGCTGTATCCCCATCAACGCCTGCCAAGGAGAAAGAGACACATCAGTTCAATGCCACAAGCTTCTCCCTCCAGCACTTGTGGCTCATAAATAAGACTCCCTTCTTCCATCCAAGAGAAAAAAAAGCCACTTTCCCTAATTATTTCAGTTGAAGAACTTTTGGCTTCTCCATCCCAGCAGCCCTCCAGACCAGTGTTACTCCAGCTAAGATGTGTGGTCTTTAAGTGTTTTTATGTGTATATATGATTTTAGGACAGTGTTTCTCAACCTTGAAGATGTGTGGACTTCAACTCCCAGAATACCCAGCCAGGATGGGTGGAGCTCAAATGTTGGTTGGGGAATTCTGGGAGTTGAAGTCCACAGACCTTTGAGAGGCCAAGATTGAGAAACACTGCTCTAGATGCATCAGAATTCAGTTTAGTTTTAGTTTATTTTGTCATTGCACCTCATACAACAAAATTAAATACCATCTTCAGTGTACCTTATGACTATGAAAATAAACACAAACACACATCCTTCACATTCTATACATTGAATTGAAAACCCGATATTGCATTAATATTGCACTATACAGTAGAATCCAATAGAGAATGAATCTCACTTCTTCGGTGGCTGGGGATGATGGGATCTACATCTGGAGGCTCAAAAGGAAGCACACAGCAAATATAATGGAGACGTTTTAATATTTTTATGTGGAAAGGAGGAGGGAGAGAGATCAAGAGAGCACTAACTCCATCTTATTCTCTTTTCTGATTTTCAAAAAGTAATATTGTTACCCAGTTGTTACTCAGCATCAGGACAAGTTGATGATCTTTACTCTTGCATTGATGATGTTACCTAGTTGGGTCATTAAATGTCTGCAAGCAAACAACCAAGCTCAGAGAGCACCAGGGACTCCACAATGATTTTTTTTTCCCCAACAAAATGAACCTTTTCATTCTGGAGACACGTCTCGTCCACATTTTTTGCTTCGTTTTTGCACACTTTTCACATTCCCCACCCCCCAACCCACCGCCCTAGTCAAATACAAGGAGGCGCTGCATTGCTTCAGGGTTCAGCTACAACGCAGACATTTGATAGGGTGGCAGGATGTTGAGATGCCAAACCCTGGTCTATTTTTAAAAGCAGGACACTGAGAACAACTTCAGAATGCATTAGGAGGAGAACTAGCCGAGGAGAAAGAGATGAAAGAAACTGAGGGAAGGCTGTTACCTCGGCCCTTCACTGAGATAGAGTATTCTTTTCTGTCAAAAGTATTAATTTTCAGTTAAAATCTTTTTCCTTCTCTTTTTTCCTGACACTAGAAGAACCAGCAGATCTGTCTACCGCCTGTCAGAACCCTCACTAGTATCTGATTCAGTAAAAAGAAATATGTGGAAAAAAAGAAAATTGTCTTATTTCAAGAAATAAGCAGCAGCGAGCAAGGTGATAATCCCCAATGCTGAGCTGAGGAAAAAGTTTGGATATTTCCCTTAAAAAGGCTCATGAGCAGCATTTCTGGCTGTCAGATTTTCAAACTTGATTTCCATAGAAATACAGGTAGCCGAGTTTGTTTAGTAACCATTTGAAGTTACAACGGCACTGAAAAAGTGACTTATGACCGTTTTCACATTTACGACTAATTGCAGCATTTCCCCATGGTCATGTGATCAAAATTCGGACACTTGGCATCTGGCATGTACTTATGCAGTGTCCCGGAGTCGTGTGATCACTTTTTGCAACCTTCTGACCAGCATAGTCAATGGGGAAGCCAGATTCGCTTAACGACCATGTTACTAACTTAACTGCAGGATTTCATTTAACTGTGGCAAGAAAGGTTGTAAAAGGGGACAAAGCTCACTTACCTCTCTCATTTAGCAACAGAAGTTTTGGGCTCAGCTGTTATAAGTCGAGGACTGCCTGTTCTGCGTCCACTGATTTGTTAAGTAGAGTTGTGAATACAGGTAGTCCTCAATTTATAAGTATAAATGAGCCCGGAATTATGGTTGTAATCTGTGCCAGTTGTTAAGTGAACCATCACAACACCGACTCAATTTTATGGCTTTTTTTGTGGTGATCATTAAGAAATCCATGGTCGTTAATCAAACCCATTGCCTGCACTTTGCATTTTTTTGCTGGAAACAAGATGAAAATGCCGCTATGGGGAGCTGCAAATGACCATAAATGATGGCCAGTTGCTAAGTTTCCAAAATGTGATCACATGATCGGCCATCAGAACTTCAAATCCAGGTTGTAAGTACCTTTCATGGGGTTCATCTTAACTTCCAACGGTTGCTAGGCAATTGGACGTAAATAAAAGACTACATTATCCTATTATGCAAATACATTTCTTTGGATCTTTTCAGTCCACAAGGGATCTTTGAACACAGAACATACCCTTATATTTGTAGACATACAAATGCAAGGAAAGAATTCAAACTTGCTACCATTGGCTCAAAAAAGGATGATTCAAAATAACAAGAAGCCATGCATTCATATGATGCGTGAGTCCATCCTCCGTTTCACACGTTCATGTTCCAAACCATGTTGGCCAAGGGATGCTATAGGCACAAGTTTGTTAAAATAAAAAAAAAACCAAGCAAGAAAGGATATTATCTCCATGCAGCAAAATATTGCCTGCTCCTGTGATGAGATTGGTTGAAGGGTTAAGGGACTTGATTTGTATGCCAACTCAACATTTTGTGAGAAAAGGACATTTTGTGAGAAAATGTCTCCGACGTTTTGTGAGAAAAGGATCAGAAAGCCACAGAAAAAGTATCAGTTAAATGCTGACACACGAAAAAGTCTGAGTTACTCCAAATGATTGGTCCTTTGCGAGCAAAAGTCAAAGCCCAGTGCAAAAGCACTTTTTCCCTACATAAAAGATCAGTTCCAAGAATCTCAGACAATCTATATATATATATAAAAGCGAAATACCACTCACGCACCATCACAAAATCTCCAGAACCGTAAAGCCTACAAACTTGACATTTTCCACCCATGTTCCTCTTGGCTTCTAGGTGCTCACTAAGAAAGGATTTTTCGAAATGACCATTAGAGCATTAGTATTTCCTATATTATTAGTAACATGCTCTGATGCTAAGGAACTCTACTCCCCCTCCCCACCTGAAAAGAAATCTGTTCCAAATGCAAAACACAAGCAGAGGAGAGGAGTTTCAGTTTCAGTTTTACTTTCACAGCATCAAGCAGCTTTAGTGCAGAACAGTTGATCTAAGCCATGCCCAGGCTCCTTGCTGTCTCCTTGCTCACACTGCAAATACTGTTTCCGTTTCCAAACAGCCCTCAACTCTTTCATACACTGACAGGACGCTAGCCAGATGAATACCAATGGATGCTGGTAGGCAGAGGCAGATTTCCCTCCCCCCTTATTTTCCTTCCCAAAAACTAAGCCCGACCACAGTTTCGTAGTGAAGCATGGGTATCGAGCTAGTGGGTTTTACGACAAACACAGACACACAAAACTTTGTCAATCCAAATAGGTATCTCGGCTTAGACCAGCTAATTATCAGGCTGATATACTGTGTAAACCCAATGCCTTCATCTGCTGTTTGTTCTCCATTTCAAGGTAGCCTGTTCCTGACCACGGAAGCTCGATTTAATGCGCCACTATTACCCCAAAGCTTAAGATGTGTGCAATCGTCTCCTCTAATCAAACTCAATTCGCTTTAGAAACATTCAAAGTTCTCCATGCATTTCTATTTTAAAGCAAAATACCTGTAAGGGACACCAAAACAGCAAATCACTTTCCCCCAGCCGTAATCCTCTGGCTCATTCTTTGAAAGGGAGAGGAAAGAAGCTTAGCGAAAGCAAATAAAAGCTTAATTAAAATTAAAGGCTCACCATTGTATTGCAGGATCACGATCCAGAAAAATAAAAAATAAATTCAAAGACCGGGCAAATAGAGAAAGTCAAACACAGCGTGCCTTTCCTTCTAATCCCGTAGCCTAAAGGAGGCGTGCAATCCTCTGGACCAATCAAAAGCCGCACCAGCCCACGATTGTCAACCAATGGCAAAAGAAGGAGGCAGGCGGTGATTTCCCTTTTCTTTCCTCGGTGAGAATTCAAAGTCCACCTGTTTCCGCTTTTCAGCCGCCTGTCCGCCGCGTTGCATCTTGGGATTTGTAGTCTCATCCTCCTTGGCGGTGCAAGATTACTGTAGTGTAATGTGTATACTATATATTACAAAATGCTTGTTTTTCCTCTGCAAAATCTCGTACGTTTATAACTATTCTTTTCTTCATCTCTCCCACATAATCTTGTAGGGAAAAGTTATTTATGTGTAAGGCACTAGCGTGAGGAAAATTAAAATTGAAATGTAAATATATGCATTTGTATTTACATAAATGAATCGGATCTAGCTATGGATTTGTTCAGGAAGCCACAGTGTGAATGGAATATGATGAAACAGGATAACTCTAGGTCAGCTAATGAGTCTCAATCTTATGTGTATTGTATTATCATGGGTTCTATTCTTTCCATAAATCTTTACTGCTACTATCCATGTATTTTATGCTTTGCGGCCCATGCCCTAAATTAATTATTAAATAAACTGAATATATATAGTGAAGGCAGCTGGAGGGGAAGATGAGTGGAGATTTTAAACCTGGGGGGAAAAATATAAATAACCTGGGTTATGCTGATTTTACTATTCTGATAGCTGAAAATACAAATCACTGGAAGTTCTACTAATGAAAGTCAAAGAACCAATGAAACAATGTGACTAAAATGTAAAAGAAGACCAAGTGAATGACAACAGGTAAAACAACCAGAAATACAATGAAGATATCAGAGTGGTGAATAGCTTCTGCATTTCAGGATCAACCACCAACAGTGATGGAACAACAGTCAAGAAATATGTAGCAGACAAGCAATTGATAGGGCAGTTATGAAGATGCTGGAAAAAAGTAATCAGATGCTATGAGAAGTAAGAATTATTCCTGTAAAAGACAGCAATGGTAACGCCATATTTAGTTCTCATTTAACCTAAGAAGCTCTAATGTGATATTAAGTAAGACATTGTGTAAGAAGTTATCTGTATTACAATAACAAGACTATAAATGTTTTGCGCATTCTGGTCCAGACAGATAGCTGGCAGGTCATAGAAAGATAGTTGTCAGGTTGAGCTGTCCAGTTGTCATACTAAAATTAATGGTGACAATAAGTTGGCAATAATAATAAGCTAAGAGGACGGAGATTATGGGAAATAGATAAACAGATGGGATGGAGTTTCTGGGAAGAGGCGGGGTCCACCCATAAATTAACCCATGAAGTTAAAGGGGCAGTAACCAGGACTGGAGCTTTGAAACTGCATTTAACCAGCATATGTCCCCATGGAAAGACGTTCTCCTTGGCTCCGCCATATCAGCATGGAGGTCCCTTTTGCTCAATTATTGTTCAGCTGTCTCCTGGTAATTTCACACCTAAAGGGTTAACCCCTAAAGGGTTGATTTCACAGAACCCATGATGTGTCTTTCCCTATAAAGATAGGAATCAATAAAGGAGAATATTTGAATAGAATATAATTCTTTATTGGCCAAGTGGGATTGGACACACAAGGAATTTGTCTTGGTGCAAATGCTCTCAGTGTACACAAAAGAAAAGATACATTCGTCAAGAGTCAAGAATCATCAGGTACAATACTTAATGATAGTCATAGGGTACAATAAGCAATCAAAATAAACTAGAAAACAGTCAATATAAATCGTAAGAATACAAGAGACAAAGTAACAGTCATACAGTCGCATGTGGGAGGGGATGGGTGATAAGGAGTGATGAGAAGATTAACAGTAATAGTAGTGCAGACTTTGTAAATAGTTGGACAGTGTTGAGGGAATTATTTGTTTAGCAGAGTGATGGCATTCGGGGGAAAACTGTCCTTGTGTCTAGTTGTTCTGGTGTGCAGTGCTCTATAGCGTCGTTTTGAGGGAAGGAGTTGAAACAATTTATGTCTGGGGTGTGAGGGGTCTGTAGATATTTTCACAGCCCTCTTTTTGACTTGTGCAGTATCCAGTCCTCAATGGAAGGCAGGTTGGTAGTAATTGTTTTTTCTGCAGTCCTAATTACTGTCTGAAGTCTATGTCTATTTGGAGCTCAGGGTTGACATGAGGGGTCCTTAGTGCTCTCTGAGCTTGCTTGTTTTCTTGCAGATGTTTCATTATCCTAACTAGGTAACATCGCCAGTGCTAGCAAGGAGTGCAGTTTGCTGTCAGCTTATACTCTGGCGTCTTGTCTACGTGGGTGGGGATGGTCTTAGGGATTCTTTGTTTGGGCTGTTTACTAATGGCTCTTAGGCACTTTCTTGATTGGGGTATGTTGAGGTAATTCCCCGTTAGGAGAATGAGCGCATACAGGGAGACGTATTTGAGAGTAGCGTTTGAATAATACACACACAGCACACAGATACACTGTACAGTAAATGTAGGTTTTTACTTCCAGAAAGGTTTAAGCAAAGTCCAAAATAAGCAGTCCAAAATCATTCACAGGTAAAATCAGTCAGTTTTTCAATCCAGGATATAATCCAAATATCAAATTCCAGTGTCAAAAACAGTTCAGTATCAGACTTACATTAAATCCAGTAATATCAGTCAATTAGGAAAAATGGAGGAACGGCAATATTTTCCAACAGAAGGAAACAGAGAGGGAGACACACTCTCTTCTGAGACTAAGACTAAACAAACCAGGTTTCTGGCTCCATCTTATGGCCGTTTGAGAAACCACACCTAATTACAGTTTTGCATTTTCTTAAAGTTACAGGTTTAAAATGTTTATCCTGGTTTATATATTTCTAACCCAAATAGCTGTTAGGTGACTCATATTCCTAACAGGGTATATATAGATAGGAATCATGCAAGTCATGGTCTTCCCTGTGACTCTCCACGGAAGCAAAATTTGTACTTTGAAGAAATATGCTGGATAGGAAGAATATTGATGTTTTTGAATGTTGGTGTTGGAGAAGACTCATGAGAATAATATAGACAGCCAAGAAAATGAACAAATGGATCATCAAACAGATCTATCTAGAGTTCTCACTCAAAGTAGCAATAAACACATTGTATTAAAAGGTATCCACCTTAACAAACTAATGAAGTGAGCCATAATTCATCAAAGCAAATCCTTTTTAATAAAATGTGTTAATCAGAAAGGGGGCTACCTGTTCTGACCCAAACCTGGTTCCAAGGAAGCAAATACGAGACAAAGGTAACAGCACAACCTTTTAATGTTTCTTTACAAATCCTGTTCCTTCACGGGTAAAAGGCTGCTTCAAACCAATTGGTTCCAATAAGAAAGAGCCTTGCCAAGGTTTTGCAAGGCTGCCAAGAACACCAGATAAAGTTACTAAGCAATAATTCAAACCAAAGAGTCTTTAAACACCGACTCAGATATTCCTAACGTCCACCAGGCTCGAGTGTAAAACTTCTTTGACTTTTGCAAAGAACTGCGGTTTCTCAGCTGGCTTTTATCTCCTCAGGGAGGGGCCGTTACCTTGCAGCCTTACTCCCGAGTCACCCATGCTGCTGCAGCTGGTCTTTCCTTCGAGCAGCCCTGCGTGCATGTGTGCTGGGCACAGGCTCCTCGGGGGCCTCATCGCTGCTGCCAGCCTCCACAATCTCCAAAGCACTCCACTCCCTGATGGTCCTGGTCCCATCCCTGCATCACAGGCAGGCCCGCCATCTGAATCTTCGCTCTCCGAGCCCTCAGCCGTCCGCACCTGCTGCCGGCGAACCACAACACTACCAGACCATCTGACACATGACTTACAGTAAGCAAGACACCTGTTTGTTTATTTTAGAGATAAGATATCAACAAGATCTGCTTTGGGTGAATTTAACTCAATGACTGATTGATTTGTTGAAGTGCCCAGTTCCTGTCATTTTCACAAACGTTTGCAATTGCCTGCAGTCTCAAAGTCAATAAATGTTATAAACGAAGGACAAGACCATGATAGACAAATCAGACATGTAATTAATTACACATTTGCAAAAAGTGTGCTGATAATAGCTGCTAGAGTAGGTGGCCTTTAAAAAACCTCTCCCAAATATTTCCAATTCTTTCCTCCATTCTCAGTTTCCCACTATTTTTCTCTTGTGGCATTCTGACAAACTGCAGAGTTGTGTCCAAATGAGTCAGCCTCTGGCTGGGATATCCTTGGTTTGAACTGATGGGTAGAGATGCAGGGTTGCCATGGATACCAGTAATGGGAGGTCCTTGCCGATCTTCACCACTGGATGGAGCTTTAATCTTTTTGCTGAGAAATAGTGTGTGCACCTTAAAAATATGAGAAGAGGAGAAGAAAAATGATTCTGTAACTACATGCCCATCTTCAAGGAATTTGACTGGAATACTCTCAGATGTGCAAAACCTATAAATCTCTTAAAATGAACCAAAATAAAATTGCTGGTAGTTTTACTATACTCATGTTATTCACATAACTTACCATCAGAATGGTGAACAATAAAGTTTCTAGTCTAAAAAGTGGAAAACTGTAGATTGAGAATGGAGGTAGATAAATGTACAATATCTAGATCCACATTCTTCTCATATTTCAGCCAAGAAAGCTAGCCAATAAGAGATTTGGATCTGATTAAAAAGGATTTTTAAAAATTCAAATAATTAATTTACACATTTGCAAAAAAGGATGCCGATAATAGCATTTTTAAAAGAGTTGTGCCAAATGACCTACAGTTAGCCATGACAACCAGGTAAGAAAGGTAAGGATAGGACACCTTGACTCCATCAAAACTTCTCAACCTTATGGACACATTCCTGCAGATTCCACAGCAACTGGGCAGAAATAGTTTCCTATGTGCTTCTTTCAGATTTTCTTTGTAACTTCCCAGGAGATCTCCTGGTGGTGTTTTATCCAACAAGGTTGGAACCTGTTTCACTTTCTAGTCCAGTCTGATGTAGTAAATGAAAACTAAATAGAACCTCCATTTTCAGAAGCAGCAAGTCATTGAAAATCAGTTACTGCA